ATATCTCTCTCTCTCTCTCTCTCTCTCTCATGTTGACGGCGTATCATATAAATATTTTTAATAGCATTATTATACTCAATTTTTTTTAGAAATTTTGATTAAGCATGAAAACAAAATTATGCTTTGCTCATTGTTTTTTTTTAAATAAAAATGCGAGGGAACAAATACTTTTACCCATGTATTTTCTTAAAGGATAAGAGATTTAATCAAAATGATACTTAATAAATATTATAGAAGATCATCTTTACAATACGAGATACAATAACTTTGAGAGTTTGAAATTAAATATTTTATATAAGTATCATATATTTTTTATAGAATATTATATATTATGTGAGATCGACCCAACTATACAAGCAAGGTGAGCTCAAATATCCCTCATACAAAATTAGCCTTAAATGGTAGAAGTCTACTATTGGATGCTAGAATCAAAAGTTTATTGTTGCTAGCTAATTGGTTTTAATTCTTTGAAAGTAGTCATATTTGAGAAGACTTGATTCATTTGTTCGACAACTTTTTTTGTCTCCAAATGGCGGTTATTTATAGAATTATAAATCTTCAGAGAAGCCATAGATTGACTTCTAATACTTAGAAACAATTGATAAATTAAAAGCGTCGATAATTTCTTTAAATCGTAATATAACATTAATCTACCCATTACATTTATTGGCATTACCCTTTAATTCAAATTGTCTTTATCAGTGAGTTGACCAATTGGTGGTCGTTGTCATGAGAGGAGATGTTATGATGGGTTGTGGGGGCATCAAAACATGTTGGCAACAAATGGTTATAAGGGCATTGGTTTGGCTGAGGTTGAGGCTGAGGCGGAGCTTCTAGTGAGAGCTAAGCGCTGACAAAAGAGACACGCTGGTGATAAAATCAAACAATGAAGGAAGCTAAATGATAATTTGGATTAGAGATTTGATGACATTGAGACTATAATATTTAGATGGAGTTGATGAGATGTGGATTAGATATGGCTATTGCGAATGGCAAATGAAGTTGGATCTTGAAGAGTGGGTGAAGCTAATATTATTGTAGTACAAAAACTAGGCCAAGGCAATGAAGTCGTAGCCAAATTCTCAATAAAGGTACCATTATTATGAGCCCATTGTTGGGATCTAGATACACACCATTTTCTTATTCATTAGGATTTTGTACATAGAGTGAATTTTGGATTATAATATAAGTTGAGGAGGTGTATCACATTATTTTCATTCATTCCATAATGCCTCAAGGTGGAGATTATTTATAAAAATACTCACTCTAAAGTCTCACATACCTACATACCTCTAATATTTGTAAGCATCCTATAAACAAAATGAATCACAAATACTGCAAACCTTGATTTACACATTGCATTAATTGATGATTATATTTAATTATAAAATTAAGGCTATGAAATTACCCTTAAGCTAAATTAGAGTGAGAGGAAGCTAGACCAGGAGCAATATTATTACACTGAAAACATGATAATATAGGATGAGGAAGTAAGGTTTATTAATCATATCATGTATTTTAGGGTAAATGTTATAAGACTGAGTGAGCAAGCTTACCCAAGATATTTTAACAAAATATAAGTGTTTAGGAAAAATAAGAGAAATCCAATTCAAATACTAGTTTAGCAAATTTGAACGCAAAATATATAAAAGAAGATAAAAGATACATTATAATAAATTATATTTCCTCACATATAATTTCTTTTTACTTAAATATAAGGAATTACAAATCAAATTAATTTGGTATATAAGATAGTTGAAAATATAGTAAAATTAAAATGATCCTTATTAAAACAATCATAAATAATAAGTTTAAGCTCAGAAATTTGCCCCCTTATTTTATAATAGAGGTCTCTTCCCCTCCTATAAATTCATATGCATGATGATTTTGTCATAAATGTCTATTCAAGACTAAATTTATGCAATATGTTTTCTTCTTGGGAAAATAAAATATGCTTCACGACATTGTAAAACTCATATTTTTGTTTAAAGCTACTAAAAATAATAGATATGTGCACTGAGAGAACTCAAATTACCTAACCTTTCTGTAATATAATAATAATAAAAAGAAATTTGAGTGAGGTGGAAGTTGAGCGCAACTCTTAATGTTTTATAGACCCAACCTCTATCTGTTGAGATTATCCTTATTATTCAATGAGGTATTTCATGGTTCAAATTAGCTTGCATTTACTATTAGCCTTAATATTGCTTTATAAATTGGATAAGAAATCATTTTCATGCATTGAATCCAAAAATTTACAATGGATCACACCCACTGAGTACAAATGAGAAGAATAGAGAAAGAGAGAGAGAGGAGGAAAAATATAGCACACAATAAAAGAAGTTTTGAGGGGGTAAATTTAGTAGTTCTTTCTTGTAGAAATGATCCCTATTTATAGATTATAGAGACCTCAAATAAAATTAAATGTTTATCTCTGTTTTGATAGGAATATTTCAAGTAGTTATTACATATTTTTATATTTGTTATCTGGGATCCTTTAATATATGTAACTGACATTGACACCATTTTATATTCAATACTGCTTTAAGAGGTGTGTTTAATGGCTCACTAATACTATCATTAGTTGCCTGATAACCGTTTGGTCTGCTGAAAGGTCCTCGGTTGGCTGTAAGGTCTTCAATCGACCTTCTTGAGAGAGTCCTTAGAAGAGGCCACTTGTCGTCAAGGTGAACTTTGACCATCAGACAGAGGCCATATCAACGTAAGAAGGAAATAAGAAAAAAACATTGATAGGGTCACTTAAAGATTTTATTAATTTGATAAAAGATATGCATATGCCTTACATAAAGGATTCTATATCTCAAGTTTATACTTTGATCCTTAGTTATAGGTATATGTGCAGGCAAAATGTTACATAAAAGCCTATATATAAGTAATACAATTTAAAGTATAAAATTTAAGTTAATTAATACTTAACATTAAATAAACTTAGCTAGCTTGTAGCAAAGAAGCATATCTTAGCTACCACGTAAAAGGTGAGTTTATGTGAAGGTATCAGTTGATGTTGATTCAACATGCTTTAACAAGTATTTGTGTTGAATGAATGGGATGAATTTAGCAAAATAAACAATGAAGTTGAGTAATCATGTGATTTTTGTTGACCAACGTCGACCACTTCTTATGACTATTGCAGCCAGAATAGAATGGTTTTACCTAACAACAATATTCTTTTTTACACTGTATATTGATAAATGCAATGTTCACTGTAAAACTGTAACCCGGTTATGAGATAAGGGGTTTAGTCACCAAATACGACATATGCGACTAACTTATTACTAAAACTTTCAGCTACAATCTTTGTGGCAAACTGATATTATTGTAGCCCCAAACAATGGCCTATATAGGCAACTATTACTACAATTTCTAGATACAACCCCCCAACTACAATCTATATGATCAACTACTAATATAAGTTTCAACTACAATATTTGTGGCTAAATGAGGCTATTGCAACCTCCAACTACGGACTTCGTTGCCAACTGATACTATTGTAACCCCTAATTACGACCTATGTGGCCAATTGACGTTATTGCAACCACTAACTACCATCATTGCGGTCAACTACTATTATAATTTCAAATATCGACATTTATGGCCAATAATTATTATTATAGATGAGAACTACATATGTTATAACCAAATTATGACTATTATTGCTGAATTACTATTATACATGTCTTATTATTAGCTTTATAATTCCATATTCTCTAATTTAGGAAAAGAGTACACTTATACATGTACAATCAGATAGGGGTTACTCTTATCGGGCTAGGTTCCGTGATTTTTCTCCTTTCTATGGTTTTTTTCACGTAAAATCCTTCATGCTTCTTCTGTTACTTTGATTTATCTATATGTGTGCGCTGCATCTTACTTCAACGCTAAGACATTAAATTATAACTCTACCACCACAAATCTTTTTGCACACTAAAATACTAAATCAAAATTATTAAATTAATGACAAGCATAGTTCTTTTGTTCATAAATTATACTCTAAATAGTCTCTATATTTATGCAACCCTTGCTATAAAAAAGCAAGAAAATACCTTGTCAAGGTGGATGATTTCAATGCCTTCTTAAGCTGTGGTGGCATTGGTTATGAAATGAGATTATTAATATAACAAATAAGGTTCCACCACTAAAGAAGGGTTTGCACTTGAGACTTCCATGACATATAGTTATTAAAAGTGAATTTTTATGGCACTCGAGTGCTTGTGTTTATTTTGTGCTAGATGATTTGTGGTAATAAATTGAGAGTTTTCAATGCATCAACTCTGTATGAAATTTAACAAATACAATTTATTTGAAGACGATGACTAAGAAATTAGAGTCATTTTACATTTTTTAAAGTAAACCTTTAGTAATTGCAGCTAATATGTAAAACTTAATTTGATATTGCTAATTTTAGATTATTTTTTTCAGCATTTAAGAGCCTTAATGACCTTATAATTTAGTGATCTTAGATCACCTTGATTCCTTTCATTGAGACACTCATTTTAAGCACAAATATGCATTATTTAAAGATTATTTTATCTCTTAATTAATATCATAAAATTTTAATCACACTTTAAATGCTTGATTCACATTTTTTTAGACTCAAATTGGAACACTTTTAATATTAGTAAAATCATCTTGTACTTCAATTATAAATTTATTGAAATCAAAATTTATATGATATTGAATTCAATTGAAGAAAAATTCAATTAAATTATTGCATTGAGATTTATACATGATCAAGTGAAATGTGGCATGCCAAGATTAATGATCACTATATAAACACAAATTAGATACATGCATGTACAATTGCACAATAATGTGCAAGTTAATTAAATATAATGTATTGCAATTACAAAGCATGAAAATAAACGTTAATAGATCCTTTGTACCGCAACGTGGACACCAAAGGCAGCAAGAGAAAAGAGGGTAACGCGCTCTGCAGGGACAGCGGACCGCTGTGGCTTCATCCCTAAATTGCTGTTGTACTTTAGTTTCGGCCTGACGAAAGCGAGCTGGCGTGAAAGGCAAGTCGAAGGGTTAAAATAACCTCTTATCGCCATTGGTTTTCTGGAGCAAAGAAGGGCGGTATTCCTCTGCGCGACCACTGGCAGTTATTCCTCAGCAGAACACACACACACAGACACAGGGCTTGGGATAGCTCGCAGATATATAAATCTAGCAGAGAAAGAAATCGAGCAGAGAGGGGGAGGGTTCGGGAGGAAGAGAGGAACCAGGAGAAGGTGGTGGTGTTCAAAGAGAGGGGGGATGGAGAGGAGGAAGGCGATGACGTGGGCAAGGGTGGGGAAGTCGGTGCAGGCGGTATTGGCGCATGGAATGTTATTCTGCTTTACGATCTTCCTCTCTCTCAAGACTGACGGCCGCATGCGTTACTCGTGGTGGTGGGTTCCGCTCCTACTATTTTATCGCTTTAATTGAATTGAATTTGTGGGGAATGCTGTAGGTTCTTAGTTTTCTTCGGGAACGTGAATTTGCGTGTGATTTGGTTTCTTCGCCATCGGTTAGGGTTAGTTTTTGGGCGGGTTGTGATGATTGGGATTTTATGTATCGGTCTTTGCTGAGGTGTGTTGCGACGGGTGATTTGGTCGTGCTGATTTATCCGAGCTTGAGTGTTGTTAATTTTGATTCTCTTCGGTGCTTTGACGTTGCATTCTGTTATAGCCCTAGTTTTTGAGTTGTTTCGGCGACTTTAGCATCAGGCGAGCGGCCTTTTGTTAACTAGGCTTTCCTGCTATTTCATCTCTTAATCCGCTTGAATCAGTGATAATGTCTTGATTGGGTTCTTAAATTTTTCAGAAAATGCGTTTTTGCGCATAGAATTGGATTCCTTGCTTTCTTTAAGGGGCAGTTGAAGTGGGATTTACTTGTCGTTCTCTGCTGGTGTTTTTTCATTGGACGATTAGGCTTAGCTGGAGGATTATCTGAGGAATGAATGTTTATTTTCTATTCGATGTCTCTGGGTTGCATTTGGTAATAACCCTAATTTTTTTTAGATGTGTTGGCGACCTGGATGCTTCAGTTGAGCGGCCTTTTTCCGACGTGGCTCAAATTATTATTATTTTTATTTACTGCATTTGGGTTTCATTGGATAATGGCCCTATTATTGAAGTGTAGATGACTCGGTGCTTCTGGTTAAGCAGCGTTTGTTAAATAGGTTCTCTTGGCTAGTTTTAGTCAGGTTGATTGTAAACATCCCTCATTAGGCATGTACTTTTTTTGGACATGATTGTAAAGATTCTTTTTTTGATAGATGACTACGCTGAAAAGGTTATTTGGAGGGCTGCAATCTGTTCTTGCGTTGTGCTGGTTACTAGAAAAGCTTTGTTGCTTAAATGTGTTCTCTAAAATCTGAGCAGTTGGATCTTTGTTATTTTATCAGAAACAATAGACCTTTTTTGTATTATTAAAATGGCATTAATTTTGATGTTAGTTTAGTCTTCCCATTGTTAAAATTGCATGCCCTGATTAATACTTCTAAACTGTAATTAAAATCTATTGAGCTGATTATTTTTGGACATTTAAATTCATTACTCCACTGCTTAAAAACATGAAGTTATATCAAGGCAGGTTACTTCAATTTAATTAATATTATAGTTTAGTATTTGTGCTGCAGTATTTAATATTTCTAGTTCAACTCCCTCTGCCCCACTGTCTTTCAGGAGAAAGAGGTAACATGCCAGTGCCTTTTTTTTGACTTTTTTTACATTTACCAGCATTAATTTAATTGAGAATCCTTTCTTCTGTGACAGGACCCTTCTGCTATAACTTCTTTTGTTTTTGTGTGTGTTGTGTTTAACAAAGCCATTTGACTTCATCAGTTTGCTTGGATTTTCCAATTTTTTATTTTCATTCCAGGAAGGTCTCAATTTTACATTAATTATCATATTAGGATGATAAAATGTTTTTCTCCAAGGATATTTTCTTATGTTTTTCTTGTTAGTTTACTTTTTTTTTTAAATTTTTTTGGGGAGTGCGGAGGTTATTGAAAATTATGACACACTTTTCATGCAGAAATACCTTGGGGATCCCTGTTTTAAATGATGCCAATATTCATTTTCAGGGTACTTATTGGCTATTTTGGAGTTTCTTGCATTTGAAAAGCTTGTTTTTGTATCACTAGTCTTCACATGTTTGATGTACTGTCAAATCAAAAGGTTATTTATTCGATTGTCAGAAGGCAGCAAAACTAATGGAGCTGCAAGTGAGTTAGTTAGCCTGTTAACCTTAGTTCTTAATATAACACTCCACTACGCCATCATACCTTGCATCATATGATGCAGCACAACCAACAAAATTGTTTCTAATGATTCATTTTTAATAGTCCAAACTTGAGCTGTTGAAACAAGAGATAAAGGAGCTTAACAGGGCTCATTTTCAACTCTTGTTTTCTGGCACATCATCAATTATGGTCGAATTTGCTTGTATTATTTTAATTTTTAATTTAGTTTGGATTGCAGTAAGAATAAAGATTGATATATATTATGTAATCCTCAAAATCTACCTAACTATCAAAACTATCGGTGCTATGACACGGGCTAACAAAATTTCAAAGTGATAAATGATTAGACATTTTAGTTATTAGAGTAACCAAAAAGTGTTTTATTAGGAATACATTAATGTTAAGACCCTCAAAGGTTTTCAGTTTTCTCTAATGTTCAAAAAGCTTCTTGGGAGTCTATCAATCTTTTGTGGCTGTCACAATTCCACTGAGAAAGACTCAACATATTATTTTTATGGTATTTGGGATATTAGAACTAACACAATAAATGAAGATACTGCACAACACTATAAAAGTCCTTATTATACCACATCTAATATCTATTACATTAAACAATGATCATAAAGTTCCCAATGTTAAATGGTGGTTATTAGTCTTTATGTTTTATGTTAGCTATGACTTCCTAATAATTTGTGAAGGTAAACACCTGCCGGTGCTAACATTTGTTGAACCATTAGCTTGTCTTCCATGAAGGACTTGATTACTATTACGATAGTTAGATCTCCCAAAGGTGTTTGGCATAACTAACTTCTAAACATTATTCAACACTTCTGTTCCTATGTACTTATTATTGTTCCACTCATATTCTTTGTAAAGCATACATTATGTACTTAAGATTTATTCATGCTACAATGGATTTTGGTCATTCGAAAGAAACATCCTAAATTCTTTGTTCATCATTGTACACACTTTTATTATTTTTCTCTCCTTGTAGATAACCTTGTGAATGATCTTTTTCTCAGATTCTTTATCACCAACTTTTTGAATGAACACTCTTGAGAATGAGAATCAGTCTTTCACATTTTCTTTAGGCTTTATATTTCTATAAGAGTTATGTATTGGGATTTCATTGAATGGCTATGAATAAAATTTTTTGTTCTTCTATGAGGTTCCTTTCCCCTATGGTTGCTTGAGGATTTATTTCTTTCTTCGTGCTAAAGATTCAACACATTATGAGGATTTAAAATATTAAGTTGGAGGAATCGTTTTTCTTTCTATTAAGAGTCTAGAATAGTTGAAAAAATGATGATTTGAGGCAAGGCAGTTGATGAATATCTCTGTCAATTTTAATTGTTTAATTTCGGATGTGATTTAAAAAAACCAGTTATTAGTATCTCAGTTTGTAAATGATCTTAAGGTGGATGCATGACTTCTTGAATGAATGTCTAAGACGTTCATCTGAAGTCTTAGAATTGGACATACACTATACTATTCTTCTAGAAACAGTGGTAGTCAGATTATCACTAATAGAGCAGTTCGTCATAAAGTCTTAGAATTATAAATACACTATACTTTTGTTCTAGAAACAATGCCAATCAGATAAGCACTAATACAACTGGTCATCTTTCTCTATTAAGTCAGCTGTTGTGTGCCTTCCAGTTAAACTTACTCCTATACCTTCTAGAAATCCTAATAAAATTGATGAATCTATCTATAGGTACTAAAATGGTCTGTTACATGTGTTTAAGAAAATATTTAGTCTTCTTATGTCCTCAATGACAACAACAACAATAATAAGCCTTCTCCCACTAATTGGGGTTGGCAATATGAATCCTTTTTCTCCATTGTGTTGTTTCAAGTGTCATTTTTTCATTTAATTCTAGTAAATTAAGTTCATTTTTTTAACAACATTCCCAAGTCTTTTTAGGTCTTAACATAAGAAATCTAAAACATATGCTTTCCTAACTTGGTCATCAGATGATTGACGTTTAATATGACCAAATCATCTAAGATAACTCTCTCTAATCTTGTCTGTCACTGGAGCTACTCCAACCCTTTCATAGATATATTCATTTTGCATTATCTTTCAAGTGTAAAGTTTATCATGAATCAAGTTTTTTTTTTTTTTTTGGAACTTTATCTAGTCTTATTCACAAGAAAGATATTATCAACAAAAAACATACACAAAAGTAAATCTTCTTGTAATGTCTAGTAAGAACATATATAACTAAAGCAAAAAAGATATGGACTTAAAGTTGATCCCGAATGTAATCCAACTGCAATAGAAAAATACTTAATGAATCCTCCTTGTGTTTGAACAAAAGTAACAACTATAATATACATATCTTTAATGAATTGAATATAAGCAATCGACACATTTTCTTTTTAGAACTCTCCAAACTATTTCTTGTGGAGCTTTTCATAAACTTTGTATAAATCAATTAAAATCATATGTAGATATCCCTTACTCTTTTTGTATCTCTCTATCTAACCTTTCAATAAATGTATAATTTCCATGGTAGACTTGCTCGACATGAATCCAAACTGACTTTTTTGGGAAATGTTTGTATCATGCCGTAACCTTTGTTCAATTATTTTCTATCCTAACTTTAATGTACGACACATTAAATTAATTTCTTTGTGATTTAAAAATTCTTGTGCATTGTCTTATTCTTAAGAATACGAACTAATAGACTCTTTCTCCACTCATTTGACTTCTTTTTAGTTTTTAAAATATTAATAAAAAGTTTAGTAAGCTAAAAATTTCTCAGGTCTTCTGCATATTTTCACACTTTTATGAAAATACCATTAGATTTATTATCATTTTTACATTGCTTTTTAATTAAAGCCTTCTCAACTTATATTTTATTAATGTGATGGTAAAAATTAAAAAAAATATTATTTATGATATTAAAATTGCTAAAATCGATCAGATTTTCACAATCTCAATAAAAAACAATTATCAAAATCAAACCCACTTATGCTAAATATCATTTTATAAGAAAATTACTTTTTAATTTTTATCTTTAATATATTTTTCTTAATCTAAATCTTTATTTTTCTAATCTCTTTAACTAATTTTTAGATTGCACTCATATAAAGATCGTTAAAAGCTTGTTAAAAGTAGTTTATATTTTACTTGAACTAAAAGCTAGTTTACAT